CGCGGTACAGTTTACTTTGCTAGTAGTATAATGAGTGTTCAATCGGGAAACGCTTAACACTTAACTTTTGGATACACAGACTGTGGACATCTCTCTCTATCATTCCTCGTTCTCAGTTCTTCTTCGTTCTGCTGCAGGGGACACCCTCCGAGAGAATTGCCATTAAGAAAGAAATACTTATATACACATAGCCATATACATCGTTACGAAAATGCAATTTTTCAAGGTTTGAATTTTGATGAAAATTAGTCGATTTTTTAAGAAACTAAATTGTAAAGAAGAACACATATTCACGGTGCGTTACCTGTGTCATGCAGCTGGCGATTAACGAAAAGATTAACAACAACCGGCAGAAATTTTGCGGAAAACGGATTCACAGGCTAACAGAATGGAAATGTCCTGAGTTTTAATTTAGGCAATGGTAAAAGTCGAGTTAGTCGTAAGAACGGTCGAAAATTGAACCGTGAAAGTCGAACCAAGGGGGTTGAGTTGCAATATTTGTTACTACGTTACAATATATATATAATATTACTAGTAAGCGACTGTTTTCTTTTACTCTAAGAATTTATTTCATTAGTCTAACTAAGGCTACTTATAAGCTGACGAAGCACTATGGAGGACTAGCGAAAATGCCATAGTAATTAAATTTGTAATGTATTTGAATACATTTGTTCAACACTAGGCGATAAAATACGTAATAACATAGACCACAGAGTTTAATTACGCAAACACTTACCCAAGACTAATCTTTGGAATATAATCTATATATCAAACAAATTAAGCCGATGTGTATCCCTTTGACACTTATGTGTTCATTAAGCTCCTTATTACACGCTGTTCAAATGGGATGTAGTAATGTACAGCTTTTTTAATCCGGTTTATAATTTTTTGCTAAGGGAATGCTATTTAACGTGCGTGGACTTTTTCGGAATTCTCATTGCTGCGAAACTATTGGCAGAAATCTTCAAGCGGACACACATAATTTTGATATATTATTATTATTATTACTAATTTAGCCAGAGAATAAATCCTGAGACCAAAGTCTTAGAGCATTACCATCTAATGCTTTCGGCTTTATAAAACACTTCACTTCACTTCAAATTGAGATTTGAATCCACGACCACAGAGTTGCTAGTCCGGACTCTAGTCTACTCGGGCACTCAGGCGGATAATTTTGATATTACAAAGCAAAACGGATACACTCTATGAAAGCATATGGGGCTAAACTACAAAAAATTCAAAAGTATATTAAAATTGGTTTTACTGCTTGCTATGCACAGTAAAAATTTGTTTGCCGCTCGCCAAGCCTACTAAACTTTAAGCCTATGAAGGTGGCAAATTAGAAGCGTTTTCGTTTATGAAATCGGAGAAATTGACCCCACGTTCGAAATTTCTAGACCCAAAAGTGACTGAGCCATTTTTTATCTCTTGCGTGATACTGCTTAGCCAACAACCGATTATATACAACACGAATTTCTTCAAAGATCTGCATAATATTGGACGTTAGTCGGGCTAAGCATAAAGGCGTTTTTCAATAATCGTCGCTTAATTGCACAATACAATGTCCTGTCTCGGCAGAAAAACGCAGACGCGTTTCGTATCTCTGCCGTATTAAAACCACATCTATTAAGTGAAACCTACATCTCAAACGATTCATATAAAAACCACGTTAAAGCCGTCTCCGTAGACTTAACAGCATTGTACTTGTAACGCCATTGCTGTATAAATAAAAATATAAATAATCAAGCAAGCAAAGCAACAATCCAAATAAATTATAAAACTAAAACAGTGTAAATGCCACGACTGAATACTTGTGGTGAGTGCGTGAGAGATATTCCTTAATTATCCTTCAGTTGCTGCCGTCAAATTTCCAACAAATTTTTCTTTGTTTATGTCTTTTTGATAATGTCCTTTTATTTTACGGCAGCAGAAAAAAAATCATCGAAAATAATTCTTTGGTCTCCCCAGCGCTTTGGAAATTCCCTTATGTTCATTAATTGTATCAAAAATGTGCATTTCGTAATAAGATTTGGCTTTAGCTTTCCTTTGAATATGCTGAAACGGGAATGAGTTGACAGCGGCAAACTAGCTGCTCAACACATCAAGTTTTGACAATTAACCTCAGAGAATAACATTTGAAAATAATCTTAAGTGAACGGCTGGCGAGATCTGGCGAACGAACATTTGCTATCTTTCTTATGTAAATAAACCTGAACATTTAGTAAGAGCGATTGTAATGGATAACGATTTTTTATTTTTCATATTAAATTTCGATTTCATTTTGCCGGGTTTTATTTCTAAACTCCATACATACATGCAGTATTTACTTAAAAACGCAAACTGCTTAAAGACGATGTTTGCTGCGTTTATAATTTAGAAAATATTTAATAACAATATTCATAATAATAATGATTATAATAACAACAATGATGATGATGATGATGATTATACCCTACAGCCTGTAGACTGTACCCCTATTATGGCTCCGAAATTATTTACCAAATTAAAGTGAAAATATTCTTGAAAAATATTTCAATTTCACCAAAACTGACAAATTTACACTTTCCAGGTTTGCGGCAATGTGTGTGAAATATGAATTAAAGTGTAGTAATGTGTAGTAACGAGCTGCATATTTATTTGGATCGCATTTCGCTTGAATTCATCGCTGATTGTTGTAAATTTTACTCTAGGTATCCTCTCCCTTTTGCTTATATATATTAATGAAAATTGTGCATACTTTTCTCTCCCTTGCTAGTGTTACATGCGTCGAGTTATTCTACCGGTAAAAAATGCATTGTTTTTCCCCAGTTTGTAAAATGGCTTGTCAACATCCTTTTTAAGTGGTATTCAGGCGAAATTTTCCCCAATTTCCTAAAGAAAATAAAAAACCCATCTTATGTTCTTAAACCATACAAATACTTATTCATTACAGATACGGGAGATTTTTGTTATATTCTTTTATTCTTATTCTGTTTCGGTTTTTTTTCTCTTTGTTATGTATACACAAAAGGAGAATATGAAAACATTAATAAAAATTCAGATGAGAAGCAAGGCTTGACCATTCCTCAGCAAACGTATATTGCTGCACCACGAAAGCTATTAAATTGTATGACAGTGGAATTGTGCTAAATATGTCCGTTTTTATTACATTGTATATAAAAATACGTGTATTTTTTATTGTTCGCTGTTTTTTTTTTCATTCGTAGATTTCGTGTCAGCAATATACCGATTTTTTATATATATTTTGTGGTTTTTTCTTGTGCCTGCACAGTCTCGTATTCACCTTAGTTGTTATTTTGTGATGCCTTTTCTCCACAGTTACGGCCCGATAAAATATCAGTGGCTTTTCATATGACTTATTGAAGTATTCAAGTAACATTCAGTTAAAAAAATGTACGAAAATAATTCTTTCATGATATTTCATTATTTTGAATGAATTTTCTCCCTGTAAAGGGAAAGTTAAATTTTACAGCAATTTTTGTCAATTATCAATTTATTGCCTATTTCGAAACTAAACTGTCACCTTTTCAGTTAAAGGAGACTTAGACTTGGCTGTAAAATAGAACTGCTTCTAAGAAGGCTATTGTACATAACACTGCTTCACATCGTTTATAAAAATGTGCTTTTCTTATTTGCGAGTGCCAGGCGCAGATCAAATCTGTCTAATGTAGCATGGTAATAACAAAGCCCACAAAATATGCAATGTAATTCCGCAGTGCATGTCCCTTACGATCTGAAGAACGAGACAATAGAATGCATCGTTCTGAACACTCGTACTGAAAAAGCGTTAAGTTAAGAATGTATTCATGGGTGCCTAACGTGAAGGCGATGGGTTTAAACCAAATCTCAAGCGCGCAACATAATGATCAAGAAAATCTGTGTTAAGATCCATGTTATTTTGGAAAGCGAATGCCAATATTTAACCTTACTATAAGGAAGTTTAGAAGGAAGGTTGTAACAATTGTATATACTTTCTCCCTGATAGCAGCGAAATAATTCCCCAAATTTTCTTTTAGAGTTATTAAATGTTCCCTATCTATTTGTAAGACTACGCCTCCTCTAAAAGGATCCCGAGAAATTCTAACAACCCTGAAGCACTCTTTTCCCTGCCACCTAAAAAGTCAATTAATACAAAGAGAACAAACTTAATTAGTAAACATAACTCTAAACTCGCAGAGTAACTAATCTACTTCACATTTCTGCACAAGGACTAACATCATTACCATATCCCCCGCAACTAGTTCACGAGCAACAAAAGGAAAAAAACCTTAAGCGCTAAATCAACATTAATTTTTAGCAACAAACGGTAATGTTCTTATCTTAAGTAAGAAAAGCACCTGCAACTATATATACTAAAAGACCTCTTAACTTCCATTTTTATGTCACACACATATGATTACTTAAGCGCTTTGAAAGCCAAACAGCCAGTTTCGGTTATGAAATTAAATGTTTTTAAATATAAAAAACTATTTTCATCTGCTATCCAAGAAATGTGTAACGCTATACACACATGTGCGGGAAAAGTTGCGAGAATAAAATATTTAAGAAATAGAGAAAGAAAATCCAAAGTTTAAAGAAAAGGTATGAATAGAAAATTTTCCAGGAATATCTTGTGTACATTAAAATTTGTAAACATTTTATGTGTATTGCAACTAAAAGTGAAACGAAGTTCTGGCTTTACGACGATCAAAAGCGTGTAATATAAAAAACATTTCGGTATTGAGTTTTCGCAAAGGCAGGGAAACGCATGCATTGCACAGAGGTATGGAAAAATTTTACTTTTCGCAAACGTGTTTACAACTCAGAGGTTTAAAGACAAACATACAAACATTGTTGCTTATAACTTTTCCATAAGCACACTTTTCAATGCACATACAAAAAAAAAATTTTTTTTTAATATTTACCTTAAAATTATTTTAAAAAAATGTATGAAAATTTTCGTTACATCAGAAAACAGAAAATTTTGATTAAAATTGTTGTTTACTATCTTTTATTTGCAGTTACAAAATTTGTACGCATTGGTATAGCCGATAAAAATGATACACCGCCTTATTTCGATAAATTTCTATACGAGACTGAAATTGATGAAAGCGCTGACCTACAGACGACAGTACTCACAATTAATGCCAAAAACCACAATGAGAGTAAGTAGAATTTTTAAGTACTCTTTTTAAAATCTTCATTTAAAATATATTTTCTTCAAAAATATATATATGTATATATACACATTAAATCATGTGAATTATCTGTTTGTTGTATTTGCTCCCTATGGGTAGTAGTTAACTTGAGCTAAATAGCTGATGTAGAAGTTTCTATATGAAATTTTATGGCCCGTGTTGGAGTTTACGCAGAGAGTGATTTCATTAAACGACTCATGTCGGTTTACCAGCGTACGGGTCCTCTCACACGTTCTGACTAATAAACAATATAGAAAAATAAAAATTTTAAATAAATGAAAAAGAAAAATTATTGACCACTTCATCATATCATATCTACTTGCCTGTCTCTATAATTTCATCTATACGATAGATGTTTCATGTTCGATATTGATTTCTTTTTTATTGTCTGTCACGGATATATATATATATATTTTCATTTTTATACCAACCGCCTATGAAGGGATATCCAGTATGAAGCTTCAGAGACCCTATGAAGTATATTTGCATTTATTGCGAATCGATGTAAGGATGTCCGTCTGTCTCTGTATTGTCTACGGTAGACATTTTTATGGTCGCATTAATCAAGCTATCCGGCTCAAATTTGGTAAAAACATTAAAAGTTGTTGTACTCAGATATTGAAGAATAATGTTACCTGAGAACACCGCAGTTTTCAACAAAGAAAGGAAGTTTTTTTCCTGGTTACTTATAGACCACAATATAAACAACGACAAAATTTTCCACCCGCCTTCCATGAAGGATATTACCTTACAATAGAAAAAGGAAACATCGTTGTCGAAACATCTCATTATAAAAAGGAACTTTAGAGACTCTACAAAGTATATATGTTCTTGTCCGTCGTCGAATCCGCTTAGTTATGCCTGCCGTTTCGTCTATCAGCCGCAGCAGATAGCCCTCAGCAATTAGTAAATACTCCTTAGCATGGCAACGATTTTTTCATATACAATTCAAATATCTTGGCTCAAGTTGTGAGATCCGTCAATATTATCGAAGAGGTGTGTTTATCTGGGAGCGAAAAAAAAATGAATATCGGCCCGTCCTTAGCTATTTGATTTTGAGAACACAAATTAATGATGAACTGCACGCTGTATATGGCATCATCAATGTGAAATTTTTTAACAGCCGTCAGTCAACTTAGATGACGATGACAATGAATGAGCGAAAAATGTTATCACTGATAAGAACATTGCCCAAAAACACCAAATAAATATGTCGAAAGGGCATATTTGACTTTAACATAAAAAAAGCTGACCGCTCGTCGAGTTTTCTTACTTGGGATAAAATACACCACGCGAGAACTCGACAGCAACATTGGTCAAACTGCATAAATTGAGATCGAAGTTCCTGACCTACGTATCCTCTTTGCAATCATGCTCCAGAAGGAAAGACTACAGCCCACTCTAAGGCTCTTGACAAATAATTTTATAGGAAAGGTCTGAAAATGTTAGAGAGGGATAAGACTGATTATTTCTGAATGGAACTACGTTGATGGATCGCATTTTCCTGCTGGAATATGTTCAATTGTTTATAAAAAAGTGTTTATTTAAAAATATTTTACATTTAACTCTCTTTTTACAGGAAACTTAATTTAACATGAGCCAAAAACAAAAAAAAATTTTTGGAATTGTTTTGTTTTAACACGATTTTGAATATTGTATGAATTTTTTTTTTGGTGGGTCTATGAATTTTTTCATTCTCGTTCCTAACAAGTACGCATGTAACTTCGCGTTATAATTTCTTAAGTTAGGTTATGCCGCGTAAAGACGTAATGTACTTTTTTTCACAATTTAGTTTGATTTTTCATAATACGTTTAACGGATTCAAATGTGTATGTACGAAACAAATTTTGAAGCGAACTCCAACAAGAACTTTTTAATATTGTTTGTTGTACTTTTTAGACGGTTTTTTAGGTCTGGAACCATTCCATTTCCATTTAGCCAATATCTTTCTTCACACGCACCCTTTTACTTGAACTTTTTGGGATCGTACCTATCGTGCAAAAAGAGAATTAGGTGTATTACTACACCGTGTAACCGTGTAACGAAACAAGCTTTGGAATAGCACTTTATACAGACAGCTGAGCTAAGAATGTGTCATAATATCAGGGCGTCTGCCAATTTTTTGTTCCATTTTAAAATATTTTACGGTTCTCGTAAGTTATAGTATTAACTATTTTGATTAACGATTATACGACGCTATTCTTTTAAATTCACATATGATCGCATTCCGTAAACAGTTGCTTGGGATGTGCTTGTCTTCGAACGCAGAAAACCTATGCTGTAGCGTATACATGTGGAAATGCAACGCCAATATAACGAAACTGTGCTCACTGGTGGTTTTTCCTATACCTATTTTTACAGAACAGGTCAATTCTACGAGTAAATTTTGCGAAGCTCCACAGTCGCAAAAATGAAGATAGGACGGTGCAAATTGGCAAACACACTATTCATTTGATTGAGAATAGAAGGTTGAAAGTTAAAAAGGAAATTTGAAAAAATTGTCGGCGTCTTCCGAGATTGTTTTAGCTTCTTGTGCACTGTGGACGTGGGTCGCAAAGGCAGCGTGTTACAAAAAAAAAAGTATATTTACTATATTATATCATTTAAAACCAATGTACAACATCTAATATCCGCTTGAGTGACCGAGTAGACAAAGGATTTCATCCAACAACTCAATGGTTGTGAGTTCCGATTTCAGGTGGGGTAGAGTTTTCAATAAAGCCAATAGCCTTAGATGCTCGTTCTTTAAGATTTTAACTTTAGAATTTATGATTCTGGCTAGGCGTAAAAATCGATATATGGAAATGATGAAATAGACGTGCTCCAGAAAAGAAGAGCAGACATATGCATCTGCTTCATTATCCCATCACAAACCAATGTATAACATCCAAAGTTATCGACTTCTCTACGCGAAATTTTTAAAACCAAAAGTCCTTCATATCCGCAGGTATCGTAAGTGCAGTGTTAAGCAAAAAGTCCCTTTTGGTTCATTTTTAAAAAACAGACTGCATATTGCTTTTTAGTTGTGGCGTAAGATTTACTTGCTTCGAGTCTCTTTAACTTGGTGCGTGTTTTCAAAGGAAACAGTTGTCCTTGATGGTTTTTTTTTTTATTCTTCCCTGTAGTAATAATCACAGTTTATCACTAATAGGTTAAGTCGAATTTGGTCTATAATTTTTAATAACCAAGGTTTAAAGAACAATTTTTCCGTTCGCTGCCTGGTTAAGAATGCTTAATATTAAATCATTTACTTAAACCAACCAAGGATTTCCTAAGAGAAATAATTTATGTATATATAATGTATATACATATATATATTTTTAATTTTTTTCCAGCTACAAGTATTCGATACGCGATTACAGGCGGTAACGTAGGCAACGCTTTTGGTGTTCACAACACAACCGGCACAATCTATGTAGCAAGTCCTTTAGATTATGAAACCAGACCAAGAGTAAGTACTTGAGAAAGTGTACATAATTACAAAAATAGTTGACCAAAACAGAGTTTATTAAATTCTTAAACAAGTAATGAAAATATTAGAGCGTAAAACGGAGGGTTAATTTCGACGATGCCCAAGGAAATTTTACATTAAATGAAATACATTTATGAAGCAATTTATAAAAAGAGCCATAACATCATGTTTTATTAACTTTACAATAAACAATTTATAATGATTACAAGTTTTTTATTTGTTAGCAGATAAATTTTAATTCGTTATCATGTCGTTATAGAGATCACACAACACAAAAACTTTTCATAACTCGATTAAGAACGGACACAAATCATCATAAGAATGTATAATATTTGGATTCATATTATCATTCATTGTCGTTTGTTTCGATACACAGTTTTAAAAAAATATGATGCAACTTGTAGGAACCGTAAAAGAAAAAACCGAAAGCAAAATACAGAATGCAAACTAAACTTAGGAAAGATTTTTCTGCTTTTCAAATGATATGAAACGAATTTTTTCAAGTCATTAGAATTCCATCTTTGTCTTGGCTTATTTAGCCTGTTCCGTTTCGCAGATGCGAACGAAAGACTTACTCAAAACTAACCACAAAACTTTGCTTTGTGACAATAGTCAAAGTAAATGTTCGTTTGCGAGAATTTTTATGATTTTCACTTTAGTCAGTTCGGTTGTGGTTGGCCTAGCAGAGGGAAAATTTAGAACAATTCATAGAGTAAAACGCACGTTATATTTTTCGTTTTGCATATTCTTGGACATATTTAATGATCTTAAAAAATGTTGCTCGGTTTTTATGGCATTTTTAAGTAGTTACACAACATTACATTGAAAATGTTTTTGTTGTGAATGTAAACTCAAGCTTAAAAATACGATTTTTAAACCGTTGTCTTCAATGTTTCAGTACGAGTTACGCTTAGAAGCGTCACGTAATCGTAGAACAAACTACACCACCGTTATCGTGAACGTACGGGATGTTAATGACAATCCACCGCAATTCGATCGTCAAACATATCGTACACAAATTACCGAAGAAGATGATCGTAATTTACCGAAACGTATATTACAGGTAAGCAAATAAAATACAAAAAGAAATTGAAAAATTTAAACGAAAAAAAATAAATTATATATATTATATTATATTATATATATGTTTTTATAAATTTTCGAACACTAAAAATTTTATTGTGCTGCAAGCATAGACAGGCGATTCTTTCTAAAAGTAGTTGTGATATTGGAATTCTGATTAGACATATTTTATAGGAGTAATCAGAATATCAGATTATATTATAATATATTATATAGAACAAGAATGCTTTAACCTTAGTAAGGCTTTTGGCAGAATAAAGCAAAGGTTTAGGCTTCCTCTCACACCTACATAGATATAGATCAACTAATGCCTCCTTAAACGAGCCTGTAGAATGCTCTATAATCTGTTCCATTCGAATGAATTGCTCGGCAGCAATACGTCAAAGGTGGCACCTTAGACTAATTCTCTTTGTATTATACATTAACGATCTCTCATGATCAAGTGATCAAGTTTTTGTGCGCTAACTCTGTTAACATTGCCCTAGGCTCCAGAGGCCTTTCAACTAACCTAAACGAATTAGTTGCTTGGTATTCACTTAATATTTTGACACCAAATTTGAAAAAACTTAAGAAGTTAATTTTTTCAGGAAGGAAAGCATTTTCTACCAATACTTAATAGACTGAAATGAACTGGACAACATAGAAATGGCGCACGATTTAACTGTGCTTTTTACGAGAAACTTTGTTTTAACTCATCCATATATTGAGTCCTCCATAAAGAAGGCAAGATCCACATTCGGATGCTCTCGAGACCCCGATAATCGATACATAATGAAAACACTATGCGTGCCTTTAGCTATATCTATATTAGAATATGCTTCCGATGTGTTATCTCGATTCTATCGCTGCAATGTTGAATTAATCGAAGCATACAATAAATAATAAAGCAATATTACTATCATGAAAGAATACAGACCACTATTCGTAGTATTACATTTCATTGTTGTCATTCATGTTGACTGAAATCAATTTCCATGTCCGATCTCGCTGCTCAATGCACTCCTACTGTCGGTTAGCACGACTAAGCCAATGCAGTCTCAATAACGATTTATTTAAACCATTTACGGCCCTTAGCAGCAATTTATATAATGTGCGCTCCATTGCACTGAATTTACGTTATAAAATAAACTCTTCTCGATGGGCGTGCATTACCGATGTCTTAACATAAACTTGAACATTCAATAAAAAGCAGTTCGACGAACTAATATAATAACTAAGCTTAAGCTTAGATGAACGTTGAACTGCGTTCTTGGCTAAACATAAACACTCTTAAATTCTTTTTAGCATTCCATTTTCCCGCAGACGTGCATAAAGATACAGTTTCATTAGGTTAAGCAATGTTGTTTGTATAATGTCAAGAAACGTTGTCACTTCTAATGAGAAGAATTGAATAAGCAAATAATTAAAAAACACACACATACATTCGACATGTATACAAATTTTTCAACTAAATTTTATTTTTCTCATTATCGAATAACAGTTGATTTTAAAATTTAATTACTGCATCACAATGAAAATGCATGCTACAGTGTTCACGTCCGCAAACCTGTTAGCTGAGTTCGAGTGGAGTGAACGAATCTTGGATGATTTAAATTATGCGCGTATTAGCGGGTCTATCAATGTCTATCAAAGTTGCAATATTTTGATTATTGTGGTCGCACTTGCACTACAACTATCGCTTACGAATCCTTCTGAAATATGTACTTCTCGATGTTGCCCTTGTTAAGGCATCATTTAGGGACGGCTTTAGGGCAATAGTCTAGCATAGAAAGCTAATGTTTCATTCGAAAAGAGTTTTCAGCTCGACTATTGCTCGTTCCGAAATGTGGAGAGTGACATACTAACATTTATAAACGCTGATAACCCAGGGACATTCGAATGAATGTCCATTTTATATTAAAAAAGGCATACTGCTTCTTCTTAATATCTGACCAACGAAATTTGAAAAAAGGGAGAGCGTATTATTTATTATCGTATCTAAAATATCTAAGAAAATGAATCCACTCTCGTGTGCTATCGAAAGATCATTTCGATATCTAAAATAGTTTCCCTGCACTTTCTGTCTAATATGTGTTAAATTTTCATAAGCCACTATACTAGAGAAACTGTGAGAGACCTGTGTTTTAATAAAGTCACAATGGCGATCCGGAAAGCTTCTCATTTGCTGGTTCCCAAATTGTCACCAACAGTAATTTAAAAAGCGTAGGTTTGTTCATTTATTTATTTATTTACATGTGTTCTTATATTATTAGTAGTATGTACGGTGGTATACTTATACCTTCGTGTACATGTTATAAATAATACAAAGAAATATAAAAATGTGCACATATATACAAACATACATATTTTTACAAAATAGATCATATATCATATTAAAAGTAAAAGAAGCAGAAGCAACAAGAATTTATTATTTAATTAATACCAGTTAAGGAAAGAAAGGATGCAACTAATACATAATAACTAAAATAACACAAAAATCATTTTAAACCACATCTTTACATGTACAGCCGAATAATACCTATAATTCATCTCATTTTACAACTTTTTCTCTTAAAAAAACTACCATAACGAAAAAGGAAGCTTTCTCGTAGAAATCACTTAAAATTTGAAAGCCATTTGTTTCATGGAAAGGAATGTCAAACGCCTTCAGGTGTTTTTATAAGCCAAAACAACTTACGGCTTTATTAAAAATTGTCTCAAAGTGCAGGTTAAAGCTCATTGATCAAATGAAATATCAAGATCAACATTTGATATAATATTCTCAAGAGATTTTATTTACGGGGAATAGACAAAAAAATATGAACGCCATGCAACGACGATTAAATCAAGCTATCGGTGCCATCTCTCAAACCTCGAAAGAGATGATTAGTGCTTTGTGAGCGGGAGCCTGTACGACGAAAGCAGCCGAATTACACGGCGAAACCCAAACTTAACTAAAAGATACCAACGAGCATTAAAAAAGATTGCCGCTAGACAATGGAAAAGTGACAAAGTAACTGTAGAACTTCACACTCTTTTGAGTAATACTGTTTCAATAAAAACAGTTCAGGGATAGCTCCACAAAGCCAAGTGCAATTGCGAAACCCTTTATTATGAAAGTAAACGCTGGACGTCTTCCGCAGTGATGACCATTAAACTTGAACGTTTGATGATTGGGAGAAACTGGAACGGTCCGATGGATCATCGTTCACATTGCTGCTGCGGCTGGTTTCTATAAACGAGCCTAAGGTTCGAACTGCTTGCTTACCATTGTGGTATTCAGCTGGCCCTCTCAATGACATCACTAGCCTGATTACTGAGAATGAAAATTTTTACTATAGTTGATGTAATGTATTTTTGCCAAACGCTTCCATATTCCGAAATCACAATGCGCCCATATACCCAGCCGAAATGGTTCGGTGTTCGTTTGAGAAGCATTAGAATATCACCAAAAATCTTTCTTGGCCAGTACTAACCCACAATTTGCGGCTTTGGTACAAGAATGGGAAAACACTGCGTTGAAAGATAATTAGGCACTCTACGTATCTATCCCGCAAAAAATTGCGCCTGTCCTACAAGCAAATAGAGACCCAATGGCTTGTTAGCAGGTCAACATGGTGCGTATGTCACGGTTATGTAATTTTGTCCATGCTCGGCATTTCAATCAAAGTAAATTGGTTACATAAACTTGCAGTTTAACTTATTCAAGCCGAGTAAAATTTCAAAAACAATCAAGATCTACCTTTTATGTTATTATTATCCCAAATTTACTTTCTAGGATTTTATAGGGGATATAAATAAACAGAAAAATAAACTATGATAATGATAATAAAAAAGAAGTACAAAAAGAACAGCATGGAGTTTGAAGACAACATCAGTTTGGCAGCATTTGAAAAACGTTTTGACAACGTGGCAATAGATTCTAAAGGAGAGAGAGAGAGAGAGAGAGAGAGAGAGAGAGAGTGAGAACTGTAGGCTTGCCGCAGCGGAACGAGTCAAACGTTTAGTAATTAAAAAGCCGAACAATTTGGATGTTATACTGAATTTTGGATGCTAGCAATACTCTCAATACGTTCGCTCGTACAATTTTTGTGGAAAGGAACTACATAGAGTTAATTTTCGATAAGTCAGGGCATCTATCAGCCGAAAAAAATAAATGGAGGATATTAATTAAGATTGCAAAGAATAGTAGCTCAAACGCAACTAGCACAATTCGGAGAGGCCAATTAACAATTCGACTTCCGAGAAAAACTATCGATAAAGGATGTTAAAACGACTTTATTTCAAATGGTTAACTAAGCCCTTTACGTACTTGGTTTGAATAAGTTTCTTAGAAAAAAAGTGGCGAATATCTTACAAATGCCACCATACGTAGTGGAAGGTCGTGTACTTTTGACTTTGATTGAACAAATTTACGAAGAGTTTTAAGTGTTCTTCTATCATACTAAGTATCAAATATTTGTTTTGTGCATAAAAATAACGAGAAAAACCAAGTGACGAAAAAATTCTTTTAAAAAGTTTTGAACAGTTAGATTTTTCCCATTACGAGCTCTTTTAATCTCGTTTGACAAACAGTTAGAACTAATGCTGTGCGGATACAGCATAGCCCAGCGGATAAGGCTCAAGTCGATGGTAATAGGTTCGAATCTCAGTGCCATAGATCATATACATGTATATAGTTACTTGGACTTGTGTCGGTTTTTAATGCTTTCAGGCCAAGATATTGTATACTGTATACCTTTGCTGCTTGCTTTTCTGATTGGTAGCGTATCACATCGTACACCATATACTTTGACCTAGGTGTTTTACGTGTTTAATGCTCAGACTTAACTTTGCAGTGCGTTTGAGTAGTGATATTCGCTTGAAATACGTAAATTGAGCCTTTAACTTTAAGATTTTCACTTAATGTGTTTATGGCTGAAATGTATAATTGTAGCCAGTAAATAAAATATTTATTATAAAAAATAAAAAAATTGGAACTGGCTCGATCATAGGACTTTG